CAGGTAAAATTCAACATTGTCAATATCAAGTATAGAAAATATTTAATGAATACTAGGATAAGCAAGGAGGTCAAAAGAGCTGGTGGTGGTTAGAAGATTTTTACAACCTTGATTGTTTTTCTACAAAAATGGGTTAATTTCTAAATAGTCCATAGCACTAGATGGCCAAATTACAAACAGTGGCTTTTAGGTCTGACTTGTATTGATCCTAGCAGAAAGACGTATTTTTAAAATCAAAGCTATCTGAAAAAAATTATACTTACAAAATGAAAAAAGTTAGACTACGCATTGCTTTTATTTTGAAGCAGTGCCTCATGCTTTCTAAAACTAAGCGATTACTAAGAAACTGGTCCTTTCCACACGTACCAGAGGCTTGCTTCTGTGATAATATCACAAGGATTTGACTTTACCATGAATAACAAGCATTACAGGAAGCACACTAGAATTAGTAACTTTTAAAGAAAAATCCTTTCTACTCAAAAAAGATGCTAAAAACACCAATACTACAGAAGTTATTTTTTTTTTTTTAAGTAAGATTACATTATCACGTCCAGCACCTATAGAAAGCAACCTTTCTCATCATGGAGAGTATTAAGCCCTAATGCCCTGTTATTCTTTGCATGGAATGAATAGCCTCCTTTTCTAAACACCTAGAATTGTACTAGTTATGCGCCATCATTAGAAAAATTGAGAAACAGCCAAATCATTTTCTGTTTTTCTAATGCGGTTCTGCGGTTCTGATGAGGCACCCCAGTTAAGAAAGGCTGGTTAAAAGAATGAAACTTCACAAATAACTGCAGATCTGGTCTCAAGGGGAGGAGTCAGTCACATTTTAACTTCAGAGCATCACCAATTATTCTAAACAATGAAAGCTCCAACTAGTGCCAGAAACAGTCAACTATTAAACCTACCGGAAAGGTTAGAATTTTTCTTAATTGCATCCATATAGAATAGGTTTAGGTTTTCCATTTAACTTACTTAATGGTCAGTTAATTTATTTAGACTACTGTGATAAAAACAAACAAACAAACAAAAAACCCAAAGTTTAGTCCAGACTACTAAGTAACAGATTGTTTATGAATAAATCAATAAAAAGCTCAATATTCAAAAGATAAGGGACACAGCAAAGGAAAAAACTCAAGAGACATGGATTCAAGTCCCAGCTCTTCCATTTGCTAATCATGTAGGATTTAATGACTAAATGGGAAGGAGATTTAACCAAGATTAGCTTCAATTTCTTTATCTGTAAACAAGTTACACTTGGCTGGTCATGAGCACCCTCTACCATTCTCAGAGCTACGATGGGCAGGAAAGGCAATGTATTTCAAGGTTGCTGTAACAGAATATTTCAAATATTCTAACCTATTATCTCCATAAGTCACTAAAAGTCCCAGAAACTCCAAGATTTTTACATTCAAAGACATCTTCAATACTGTGCCACTCACTGTTAGATAGCACGGTCTAATATTTGGTGGCCAAAAAATGGTTACTATCAACAAATGCTTATCAATAAATGTTTTAGACTCTTAGCATTTGATGATTTAATATTCTCAGTTTTAACTATTTATGAATAATCTTAAAAAGAGCCCCAGCATGTAAGCATTTAGAATTCTGAACCAGACACGTTAAGGCTGCAAAAGTGAATCGTTAGATATCGAGTGTGTCCTGCCTCCATTTGCTAAACTACCCAGCATCTTTGTTCTCACCTATGCAACAACTCTTATGAAGTGACATTTGACTCTATCCTTAATTTTTTTTAATTGAGCTGAAAAGAAAGCCAGATTATGGTGAAAGAAGTGGAATCAAAATGACTATGACTAAGAAACTGATGGTTTTGGACTAGAAAATAGAACATTCAGGTAAATGAAGAGAATGAGTGGAATTAACGTTATAGTGGTGCTAAAAATTCATGACATCCCAA